TTCGTTTGGAATTTCTCGACCTGATGACCTATGACGGTACCCCGTATTCCTCACTTATCGACCAACACTCCAGCCATGCAAGATTTGTGGAGGTTGGGCGCAGTCAAGGCTGGATACAGGATAGAATACCGGTAGCTGGTGATGTGGTGTGTCTTGTGCAACCAAGTCAGATGTGCCCAACTTTCTAGGCTTTGGCAAGGTTGACCAACCTGCTTCTTTGGACAGAGCGAACCTGATTTTTTTCATGATTCCTCTCGGCTTGACGATTGGTTGATGGCGGTGGTCCCTTATTCACACCCATTGCCGTGACACATATATCTTCTTTGGCTCCCCTTGATCGTGAACCTATTCTCTTCTCCTCAACCTGTCCCCGTCCAGTCAGCCATCGCTCGCACGAAAGTCCTGCCACGACTCACTCACCTTACGCCTGTCGCCCACCCAATCAACGAATTTAATTGAACCAACACAACAATACCGCCAAAATGGTGCTCGCAAGTGTTGTGTCCATGATCTTCCGCGTAGCGGAGATCGCTTTCGCCGCCATCGTTGCCGGCCTTACTGGCAAGTACCTCCACGCCACGGAGGGTACCTCCGCCTGGGATAATGGCCGATTCATCTACACCGAGGTCGTTGCCGGTCTCTCGATCCTCCTGGCTCTCATCTGGCTGTTCCCATTCAGCTCGTCCTTCATCCATTGGCCCGCCGATTTCCTCATGTCGATCATGTGGTTTGTGTCTTTTGGTCTCATGGTCTCATGGTTGAACGGCTCTTGCGGGTAAGTGTTCTTCCTGAGTGATGGCTTGGCTAGTCGATTACTGACAATGAAGTAGATATGTCTTCAACTGGAGCGGAATCTCGCTCGACGGCACAGCCACTTGCTCCGAGTGGAAGGCCAATGTTGCGTTTGCGTTCTTGAGCGCCATTTGCTGGCTCGTCAGCGCATTGATTGGGTATGTCTTTTTCTTTTCATTAATAGTAAACGGAGAAGGGATCGACTTTGCTAACCGATTGAACAGAATTTGGTGGGTCCGCCGCCATACCACACCGGTCGACACCACTGGCACCTACCGCCGCCGCCGCTGGTATCGCTCTCGCGTCTAAAGACCGAACCACACCGACTCCGCTTATCAAGCTTTTCCAGCCCTTAAAATACTGGACCGCAATGATGCCTTCCTACCGCTGCTGAACTTACGACCTCTTCTGAACTTGATACCCCCTTTTTTGCATTTATTTTCTTTGGAGCCCTTGGACAACGATCACGTCAAGTCATCGAGAATGCCGAGAATGCTATCCACCCAATCTTGTACCCATTCTCGCAGTTCAAACTTGATATTTTCTCCTGGTGGGCGTTCCTTGTTTGGTTATCAACAGAATGGGCAAGCCTGGCGCTGGGTGATACTGAAGGAGGTTTCTTTATCTGTACTCTAATACCTAGCCAGTCGCGCTGGCACTAATTCTTTCCACTTATCAATACCACGAATTGATTGGTTACAGTCTGAGCCACGTCCTGCCTTATTGCAGTGATATTACCATGTTCTCCTTGCTGATTGCCCCGATCAAAAAGAGCAATGGTCTTAACTGAAGATTGTGAGGATAGTTTTAGATGCCGGTTCATCTTGTTGAGTCAAGGTTTGCTGATCTGTATAAGGCTTTTTCTTTCCTAGCAGCCATATTGTCTACGAAATTCGCGGCTCTCGTAATCATGTCAACGTAGGAGCTTCATTGTGGTTGAGAGATATCGCCAAGCTTTCGGAGCACCGATCTTGTGTTCCCCGTCCACGGATGTGGTATTCAGGGCTGCGTGATTGCCAGAGCCATCTGGGTTCACTACTGCAAGTAATACAGCCCAGACGATATTCTAACTGTTTGAAGCTAAGCTCAGATATTCTTCCGAGCCAGAAAAAGGCTGGTGCTAGACCAAAATATCTTCTGTTACCTCACAGGTCATCCGGGCAGCCCACTCAGTGCGTCATTGGAGATGATCTGCAAGGAAGGCACTGTGGGGACCGATGACGTTGAGTTTTTGGTGCATTCTTGGCAACAGTTTGCGGGGAAACAGGGGTAGCTTACGCCACACCACCACCACAACTCCCGTCCCAGCACATATGGGCAACAGGTCTTTGACGCAAGCCACGATGGACCCTTCCTACCTAAGGTTGGAGACGGACCGTTGAGCCTCTTGGATCGAATAAGGCAAATTTCACCGAATTTGCTTATGCTTCCGTGATAGCAACTTCATTCTCGAGACGCTTTGGACACCTCGGGCATCTTCCTACCTACAAGTAGTATGTTTGAGGTACAATCAATGTGCCCTCTGAGCCCTTCAAGGTTCTTGGACCTCTAAAGACGCTTGCTACGGGACCTACGGATAGTTCTCATAATCTCAATTACAAACGTCATATTCGGAGGATTCCTTAATTGCCTTGAGAAATGAATCTATTTTCCATGGAAAAGCTCCGTTAATGACACAGGCACAGCAGCAGGCAAATTGGTTCTTCAATAGTCTTGTTTCACTTGTTCCGATTGAGTGCATTGGGTACGAAGTACTTTTTGCGGTCATTCTCCTCCCGCTGCCAGGTACCTCACACCGTAAAAACAGCTGGAATGACGTCGCCACGTGGAGCTCGTCTGGCAATTGGATCCTAATCCCGATGAGCCTCCGCGTGAAACTGCAATCTGATTGGTAGCCTGCCAAGGTTGGATGGATGACACTGTGTGCACTGTACATTTGCTATGTCCCTTCTTCCGCCAGGCTGCGAACAGTGCCAAGTACAAACATAGATTTTTGCCTTGTGAGAGACGGGGCTTGATGGGGCCTGGAGTTGGAAGTGGACGGCACGGAAAAGCGGACTTGGTTGGCGGGGGTTTCGGCTTCTTTGGCTTGGCCGCTTTCAGTCCACGTACCAGCCCGTATTCTCCATCTGATGTGCATAGCTATGACGACGGCAATGAGGTAAGAGGCCACTTACACGTGCCCCGGTGTTCACCTCCTACCAGAAAGCCGCTTTCAACGGAATATCCAGAATCAGATGATCGAACCAAGGTCATGAAACAGTTACGTTGGCACTGTTGGGCACACCGCGTGTCCCTGACTGGATGAGACTAGGAAACTGTGACGTTATGTTTCTCCTCCTCACCTGTATATAAGAACTGCCTCTCTCCCCAAGACCGATTCCTCTTTTATTTATCTCACCATCATACAAACAAACAAACCAAGCAAGACACTCACACTCACACACTACACTACACAACCACCACCACAACCTAACAAACAAACAACAACCACCCAACATGTCAGGAATCATCAACAAGGTCAAGGATGCTCTCCACTCCGACAAGAGTGACAAGCACTCCGCTCCCGAGGGCACCGCCGGTCCCCACAGCTCCCGCGTCGCCAATGCTGCCGATCCCCGTATCGACTCTGATATGGATGGCTCCCACAACACCGGCGGCATGCGCAAGGCAGGCCACGGCGAGTACGGCAGCTCTGGTGTAGGAAACACAAGCTCCGGCATGGGAGGAAACACATTCTCCAGCTCCGGCAGGTCTGAGGGCGCCACCGGGCCCCACAACTCCCGCATGGCCAATACTCTCGACCCCCGCGTCGACTCTGACAATGATGGTTCCCGCACAGTGGGAGGCAACACCGGCACCAGTGGATTCGGCAGCACTGGCACTAGCGGACTCGGCAGCACTGGACACAGCGGCATTGGCAGCACTGGCCACAGTGGAATTGGCAGCACTGGCCACAGTGGAATTGGCAGCACTGGACACAGTGGAATCGGTAGCACTGGACACAGCGGCATTGGCAGCACTGGACACAGCGGCATTGGCAGCACTGGACACAGCGGCATTGGCAGCACTGGACAGAGCGGCTTTGGTAGCTCTGGCAACACCTTCGGTGGTGCTGGCTCCGGCACTACTGGTATGACCGGAACCCACGGCCCACACAGCAGCCGCATGGCCAACGCCGCCGACCCCCGTGTCGACTCCGACCGTGATGGTCGTGGTGCTCTCGGCCACTCTGCCCCCGGACCTGCAAGCAACACCGCCGGTCCTCACAGCAGCGACATGGCCAACAAGCTCGATCCCCGTGTCGACTCCGACCTCGATGGCAGCAAGACCATGGGAGGCAACAAGACCTACCAGTAAGTAAGTAAAGTCTCATAATCAACATCTCAAAGACTGGACGCTAACTTCCCCCAGATCTGGAACAACAACACATTCTTCCGGCCTAGGCAGGCGCGATCCCACCGATGCTGCTCAGGTACCCCCCTCAGTTCTGCAGCAGCACCTAGGTGAGCCAACCATCGAGCACGAGCACAAGCACGACTCGTCGGCGCGGAGGAACAGTGTCAAGAGTCACCAGGAGCGCTTCAGCGGAATCTAGGTTGACATCTTGTGTATATTGGAATGATGGGATGCGTTTATGACATTATTTCTCTTTTGTCGTCTGTACAACTAGATAATCTATTACCCCCTTCTCACTGACAGGGAGTCAACATGCTTTACCCACACCAATGGGAGGCAGTTGATATTTTTGTGATGATTTCCTTACCTAGTTAGTTTTATGAGCTAGTCAAATCAGATTGAGTTGCCATATCCTCTTCGTCTTGACTGAAAAAACCCATCAACATATAAGGCTTTCGATTATACCATATTGTCAGTCCCAAGCATTGACCATTCTCCAATTATATTAATGACAAAGAATAGGTAAGGGATTCATGTCGGTGATTCCCTTGTCATCGACCAACCTTGCATTCTCACAATGCTTGCCGGACACCGAGTCATGCCCCGGAAGCCAATAGTCAAACCCTACCTTCCGTCCCCACGAGCAACCCGAACCCACAGCAGTCACACACACAAACTTCCACACTTTAACCTTCACAACCATATCGTGTGTACAAGCCAGCTATATAGATAAGAATACCCACCCAACACTCATCAAACAGCCCCACCGGTCCCACTACGACGAGTGCCCAACATTCGTTCGAAACAAGTCTTCCGTAGTATAGTGGTCAGTATGTGAGCTTGTCATCAAACCGCCCCTGGTTCCGATTCGCTCGAGACCCGGGTTCAATTCCCGGCGGGAGAGAAGATATATCACTACTAATGGGTCTGGTGTGAGCTGTTTCTTTTTTCTCACATTACATTTGTTGTTTTCTTTTTCTTTTGTTTCTGAGATTCTCGCCCAACTATTTCCATTTTCACCGGCATAATTGCCGAACGAGTATTCACCGCAAGTAAGAGATGGGCATATCGTCACTGCATACCGTCTTTTTCTAATAGGTACTTGACTACCTACAGCTATACTGCCAAAAGATCACAGCCGACCGAGAGATTCGAAAGAATGGAGCGTGTGAATCTCGCACAGTAAAAGCGTGGGACATCTTCGGATGTGCTCGATAATGTCCCATCTGTGTAGGTAGTATCTACATTTGTATCCCGTTGCATCCATATCCTGCATGAAGGTCCTGCGTTCAACCGAAGATACATCCGGCTTCGGCCACACAAAACGGACATCACCAGCAAGCCGTCCATAAGCAGGTGAGTAAAATACCACACACAACGAGCAGGAATCAAAGAGTCACAGAACAGATGGAGGAATAGCGTAGAGTTTATTCGCGAATACGGACAAAGGCAGGACGAGTACTTTAGTACTGTAACCAGGTCCTGAGTTTGCGAACAGAAGCAACATTCCACACAAAACTCCAAATTTCCATATCGGGAATCCCGTAACCGTATCATCCGTATCCGTAATGAAACCTTGAATGGTATTAATAACCACAGGGCTGAATAACGGTCCAGCCAGGCGCCATCTTTGCAAAACAAAAAACCAAAAGGGAACCGAAGAGGGTTAAATTCATGTATTTGGGTTGTCCCTACCTAGTGTACAGTGTACATGCCCGGTTGGGTTGGTGACGGTGGTGGTCCCGGGGTTGAGGTTTTCCTGCACCGGATGGCAGGGGGTTGCTTCCCCGGGAGTGGAGCAAAAGCGGGAGCGGAATCAGATCATCAAAGACTTGGCGGGGTACATCTCCGTGGCTTCCCGCAGCAACAACGCGAATTTGATGTTGCTTTTCTCGTGTAATTATGCAGTAAAATGATCAAGATCAAGATTGTGAAACTTGCGCGTTTGGTGGGGTAGGAAAATATCGACAAAGCTACGGTACCGGTACTCTCTCTTGATGGACAACAATCGGATAATAGCGGCCCTCTCAGCCCAAGATCTCGATGGCTTCGATCGGTGGATATCATATGCCTCTCGCCTACAGGTAGTCAAAGGGGATGAGCATGAAAGTGAAGCTAATGTAACTTCATGTCACCAAATCCCCACCTGCTCGATCTTTGACTGCCAAAAAACCATCACTTATTTCCGGAATCTTGGCTCGAGCACTTCGGATGTAAGGGAACTGGGAGATGCTATTCCTATACTGTCTTGAATCTTCCTTCTTCCCTCCCCCCACTCATCTCTCTAGATCAGAAAACACAGGACTTTCATAGCTAATATCCATTCTAAAATTATCAGAGTATCAAATTCCTTTGTGTAACAAAGAGATTCTGGACGGCCTACCTCTTGAAGACAAGATTATTAATGAAGATTCAGAGAACCTAAACCTGGATCATGTTTAGTAAATATCCCACTAGACGGATGCTAAGATCAGACTCACTCAGTTCAAAGTTCAACCGTGGTAAACTTGTGTGGCAGTTGTGGAGATTATGGGCGTGCAATGGAGGGTTTTGCACCACAACATATGAGGTCGATACCGAAAATAAGCCCCGAACCCCGAGAAATTGGTATGGCCACCACGCAGAGATTTAGGCGCCGAGATTGAAGTACACTATACCGAGTACAGCGTGAGATTGGCGATCAACGCCTCGGTGAAAGGAAGTCTGTGCTCTCCACATTGGCCCATTTGATAGGGAACCTCAGCTAAAGGTGATTTGCCGTCCCATCAAGCTCTTGAACGCATCATCGAGCACTTTGCGCTTCTTTGCCCGCGCATCAGCCACTTCCTGCGAGGCTTCATCTTCGTCCTCGTTGTCGAGGCCGTCAAGCTGTGGCATCCATACGCGGATTTGTCCGTCTAGGTGGCCGCTGTAGAGACCGCCGGCGGAAGTTCTGCCGCCCATGACAACTCCACTTGAGCCAGCGAAGCCGCCAGCCCCGCGCCAAACAACTGCGAAGAGATTATTAGTCGAGGGTCAGCTGCGGCCGTAAAAATACACTTACCACTGGTCAGCCGGTTTTTTACGGTTCTCTCACCTCCCCGTCCGGCCCTTACTGCGGCCATACCGGGTCCCATGCCCCTTAACCGCGTAATAATAGTCCCTTCATGTAGGTCCATGATCAGAATCTCAGTCTCGTTGGGAAAGACGAGAATTTCTTTCTTGACAGAAGTAAGTCCGGTGGGAGAAACAAGCATGCAGCTTCCAAGACTCCCCACGTGCCTATTTCGTATTGTTGGTCCAAAATTCGCCAGGGTGTTCGCCCCAGTAGCAGAGCTCCAGACCCTGATCTTGCGATCGTGTCCCGCCGAGACGATATACTCTCCGTCGTCGGTCCAAGTGAGTCCGTTTACGGGGCCGTGATGTGCGCGTGCGGACTGCCGAATCCCTCTCGCCTGCAGTGTTCCCTCGGGAAAGGTCCCCGGTGGTGGCGCACGTCCGGGGTGGAGGATGCCCAGGCTATCTTCTTGATCCAAGAGACCGATGAGCCCGTTGGACTTCCTGATATCCCAGATTCGAACCGCACCGTCTACTGAGCCACTAGCCAGAACATGTTCGTGTACCGGCGACCATGCTACGGCCAAGTTAGCCCCTGCTGAGCCCCCGAGCTGACCTGGAGAAATCAGGGACTGAACTGCAGCCGATGATCGTAGGTCTACCAGACGGACGGCGGGATGTTGAGTTCCACAAGCCACGAGTAGATGAGACGCTATAAGTGAGATGGCATGTGTGTAGACCTTTGCGCCGAGGTCAAAGGTGCCCGAGACCCGAGCATTCCGGGTCGACCAGAGCTTCAGAGTCTGGTCGTAGGAGCATGAGAGAAAGGCATCGCTGTCGAACGGATAGAACGAGAGGTGGGTAATGCCGAAACGATGGCCGGCAGCTTTGTCTACGGGACCTGTCGGGCTGGTACTGGTGCTGGGTCGAGCTGTGAGACCGGCCTCGGTACCACGTCGGGCGGCGGAGAGCGGCTGCGGCGGCTGTCCAGCTCGAGCAACAGATGACACGGGGCGGTATGTGTATGCTGGATTTGGGTTTCCGCATTGCTCGAGGTCCCAGATCTTGATGGTTGCATCTGAGCCGCCGGATATGAGTCTAGTCGGGTGGCGGTCAGGTTTGGCTCAGGACTTGGAGCATAATACTAGAAGAGCAACTTACATCCTTCCATCGAAGCGCTCAAGGGCTAATGCATTCACACCTGCTTGATGAGCCCATATTGAAAAGGCAGCATGTCCATCATCAGATTGTCCAGATGGGACGGCCACAGGCGTTGCAACAAGACGCTCTCCGCCGTCGAAGCGAAAACCTGGGGCCGGACGAAAAGAGTTCAGGAGCTTGGTTGTGTGCAGCCGGGCAAAGAGACCGGCCGGCACATTGCCCGTCGACCGCTCAAACAGGAGCTGATCCATCAAGGCCAGGTAGTTGTCTCTTCGAAGAGAGCATTTTCTTTCTTTCAGCCTTGCCAAGGAAGAGGTGAGTGGTAACCTGCACGCTGGCCTTTGACCGATTAACGTGAGAAGTTGTCCGAACTGTATTGGTAGGAAACGCGGGCCATTATCCGTTGGGAGGATGACGTTGGGGGCCGTGGGCGGGTTGTGGGGCTACCGAACGTGATCCAACTACGCTGCCTTGTCTTTCGAAAGGGCATTCATGAGGCTTTGAAGAGTAGCACGAGGTAGTTTTATATGAGAGGATGCACAGAGTATATCACAAGGCTGCACGGAGTACTGAGGACGGGAGTTATAAGTACCTAGTTCTACCCTTTAAATTCTTACGAGCAGTGTGCTTTCTGTATTACCTACCGTGCGTGTATCGTGCCGTACTATACGGTATTGGTCCCGGTTGGACATGGTGGGGCAAATATCGCTCTCCATACGCGTTATCGCTGAACCTTCAATCTCAAATTCAATTCCTCTCCCTTTCCACATAACTCGGAGCAAAACACAAAGGGGCAAACACAGGTTGCTTCTCTCACTTCTGCTCCTTCAATTCACTACCACGAGTTTTATTTTCCATACTATTCGACCCAAGCAAACCGATAACACGGCAATACTATCCAGAGGGTTGAACGACGGGTCCCAACAAGGGAACGCGGTGCTATCGAGACAAACACAACCTTCGTATATTCAGACCGCTGCGTGCCCACTCAGGTGCTATGGTCGGAAAAATGGCCTCCTCAGCACCAACGTCTCCGTCAGTCGCAAGTTCCAAACCACAACCCAAACAACCCAAACAACCCAAACAACCCAAACAACCCAAACAATCCAAGCCACCACCCAAACAACGAAAATTTCGCGGCGGAGATTTCAGCTTGTACGAGGCTGTGGCAGGTATGTTCAGCGTCCCCCAACTTGTCCCGGGTCCGCCCTTCACAGTAGCCATCTAACGTTCCGAATAGGCCACGTAGTAACAGGCGAGAACGTTTTTCTCAGGCAAGCAAGAAGACTCGGGACCCTTGACCAATACCAGAATAAGATCGCTGAGAACGCCGCTCGCCGCCGAATCGCGCCCGAAGATGTCCTCTTCCGTCGCAGACATGCCCCTACACGCTACGCGGAGCACGACATCTACTGGGCCAATGAGCGAGACCTCCCCGATGGAGGCGGAGGGCCCAAGCCAGTCTTACCAGACAGCGACCTATTGAAAGCTATACATGGATATACCTGCCGCTTCTATGAAGCAATGGATCAGCGTTATTATGCCGGAAGGAAACCTGCTAGCGAGGCATCGCCGGCAGGAGAAGAAAGACAAAGACTAAGAAAACTAGACGAGAGGAGCATGGACGAGACTGCCCTGCTGGCATTTGCAATCCTGCTCGAGGAAGCAGGGAGGAGCTCACTTGGAAAAACAGGAGATTTAGTCTTC